CTACACCACTTCACACTAGACTACACTATATACACTAGACTACACTACGCTATACTACACTACAATACACAACACTACAGTACACTACACTGCAGTACACTACACTCCACTGCAGTACACTAACTACACTACATTACGTTACACTACACGAATCACACCGCAACTACAACAGCAACTACAACTACACTACACTAGTTACACTACACTACCACTCCAACCTCGACTACACTACACTACAACTACAACTGCGCTACACCCCACTGCATCCAGCAGTTGTGGGTGAGGTGACCGCTGCAACCGTTGCAATCGCTCCAAAAAACACAACTCCAACCACCTTTCGGTCCATCAGTGGATTCGCTCTGCCATCCATGCATCACAACAAATCACCTCTCCTATATAGAGTTTCCTATCTTTGAAACTTCCGCCACCGCCTTGTGCGGTGCTACTGGTGTAATGGAGTGTAAAGACTGCTGGAACATGATGCAACTGTAGCGAGTTCAGCTTAGATGCCAAGCGTGCCATGGTAAGGTTTGAACATGACTTTAAATCACGTACTTGTACATATGTGTTGCTTTTCCGAAAACATTTTGCTTGTAAGACAGGAAACTTACAGAGCCCCTCCAGCAAGTTCCCTAGTTGTTTTGCAACACTGTCAGCCTCGGGGCACTCCCAAACTAATTTCCCTCCTATAGCTTCTATATACCAGTAGTACCGCACAAGGCGGTGGCGGAAGTTTCAAAATTAGGAGACATATAGGAAAAGTTGGTTGTTGTGCATCATGAATGGCAGATCGACTCCACTGATGGACCGAAGGAGGTTGCTATTTTTGGACTGGTTGCCGTGGTCACCTTACCCACAACTGCAGGATGTAGTGTGGGGTAGCGAATTGTAGTGTAATTGTACTTGTAGCTGTTGTACTTGCAGTGTAGTTGTAGTTATAGTGTAGTTGATGCTGTTGAAGTTGTAATGTGGCAGTTGTAGTTGCAGCTGTGGTTGTAGTAGTAGTCGTAGTGTAGTTGAAGTGTAGTTGGAAATGCAGTTGTGGTAGTTGAAGTAGTTGTAGGAGATGTAGCTGCAGCTGTAGGTAACTGTAGTGTAGTTGTAGTATGTTGTAGTTGTAGCTGTGGGAGTTGTAGCTGTAGCTGTAGTGTAGCTGTAGTGTAGCTGTAGTTGTAGTGTAGCTGTAGTGTAGCTGTAGTTGTAGTGCAGTTGAGTGGTAGTTGCTGCTGTAGTGTAGCTGAAGTTGTAGTTGTAAATTAGTGTAGTTTACTGGTAGTGGTAGTTGTAGTTGTAGTGTAGTGGTATTTGTAGCTGTAGTCGTGGTTGTGCTGTAGTTTACTGGTAGTGGTAATTGTAGTTGTAGCCTAGTGTGGTGTAGTGTAGTGGTAGCTGGAGTTGCAGTGTAGTTGTAGTTGTAGTTGCAGTTGTAGTGTCTTTGTAGTAGCTCTTGCAGTTGTTGTACTTCTAGTTGCACCTGCAGTTGTAGTTGCAGATGTAGTTGTCCTGTTGTGTAATGGTAGTATTTTTAATTGCAAATGTAGTTTTAGTTGAAGTTTAGTTGAAGTTTTAGTGGTAGTTGTGGTGTAGTGGTAATTGTTGTAGTTGAAGTGTACTTGAAGTTGTAGTTGTAGTGTAGTTGTGGCTGTAGCGTGGTGTAGTCGCAGTTGTCTATCTATCTGTTTATCTATCTGTCTATCTGTCTGTTTGTCTATCTAGCCATCTTTCTGTCTGTCTGTCTGTCTATCTGCAAGCTCTATTCTGTGAGACGTCCTCAATTTTTGAACTTGACAAGGTCAAAAACGACAGAGTACTGCGAGACTTCTTCAATGTTTCAAGTTGACAACATCAAAAACGAAGCATTCTGCGAGACTTCCTTCATCTATCTTAAGTACTGCGCCTGCCAGGAAAAATTGATGCCAAGTCATACAAAGGGCCGCACCTGTCACGCAAAATCATCTTCGCAAACCTGACGATCTGATGCTCCAAAATGCAACCCCTCTCCGGAAATCAGCGCCCTGACCTCCTAACATCTCTGATGAACATGTCTCCTGTACTGCGCCTGCCACGGAAAATGCATCTTTCCAGATCCTCTTCAAATGTCCCACGCCTGCCATCGTTTTGGGAAATGCGACAAAAAACCTCACGTTTTACTCACTCTCGGCGAGGTACAGAATCCCTTGCGCCTGCCACGCAAAACCACATCTGAACGTCCAAAAGTGGACCGTCAGACCGTCAGTTTTTAACGCTGTTGACTTCGAAATGTGTTTCGCGCCACAGCGTGCACTCTTTCGACATCTCAACTTCCAAAAGTGCTCAGAGGCTGAAGTGCTTTGTACATGTTGACTTCGAAATGTGCTTCGCGCCACAACAGCGTGCACTTTTTGAGCATCTCAACTTCCAAAACTGCTCTGAACGCGGTGTGCTTTGTACATTTTGACTTCGAAATGTGCTTCGCGCCACAACAGCGTGCACTTTTTGAGCATCTCAACTTCCAAAACTGCTCTGAACGCGGTGTGCTTTGTACATTTTGACTTCGAAATGTGCTTCGCGCCATGACGGCGTGCACTTTTTCAACATGTCAACTTCCAAAAAATGCTCCGAGCCCGTCAGTTTTTAACACGTTTGATTTCGAAATGTGCTTCGCGCCACAACGGCATGCGCTCTTTCGACATCTCAACTTCCAAAAGTGGTCCGACGTTGGTGTGCTTTGCACATTCTGATTTCCAAATGTGCTTCGCGCCACAATGGGGTGCAATTTTTCGACATCTCAACCTCCAAAAGCGGTCCGACGTTGGTGTACTTTGCACATTTTGACTTCGAAATGTGCTTGGCGCCACGACGTCGTGCAATTTTTCATCTTTCATTTGGCCAGATGGCTCCGCACCCGCCGCTTTAGCGAGCCTTTTTGACCCTCCGGAGCCACAAATCATTGGAAAAACGCAGTGTTTCGCGACTTTTCTACCTTTTGGTGCACCTGCATCTTCTTTCCTCTGACTCTTTCTCTTCTCTGATCTTCTCTCTTCTTCTCTTCTCTTCTCTTCTCTTCTCTTCCCTGACTCTGCCCATCTGCTTTCGACCTGTCCATATTGTCGGAAGTTCGACTCCTAAACTTCCTTCGGTTAAGATTGTTTGAGGTTGTAGAATTATGCAAACTACAAAAATTTGGACTTGAATAAATTACCCGGCAGATCTTACACCCCTTTGCTTCGCGTGGCATAGTGCCCATCTCCTCCTCCTTGTCTACTTGTATAGGCCAGCACTGCGAGATGACGCAGCATGATGGTCAGAGCAAAAACATTTCAATCAAATTTGGAGACATCAAGCTGCGCGCGTTGACTTGAGTCAGACTGGGGCAGGTCAGGACACAACAAGTTGTAAGAATAGGGGGTCGCATAGGTGAGGAAACATGCCCGTGGTGAATGAAAGCAACACTGCCGGGAAGGCCTATCGTTTGCATTGTCGCTGAAGTTAGGAAACATCGATCTAGATTGAGATGGATGCGAACAAAAGGAGAAGCAGACAATTGTGGAAGAGATGTGGGCGCGAAGAGTTGGTGTAAGATGTGTATGGTTATGACGCAAAATGCATCATTTGACTGGAAACCAGCCAAAAAAAAAACAAACAAAAAAAAAACAAACCCATGTTAGGTTTGTTTTCTTTTGTTTTTTGGAATGTTTTTTTGGTTTGTTTTTTGCTTTTTTGTTTGCTTTTCCGTTAAAAAACAAAAATTAAGCTTCGGCGGTATCCCCAACAGCAGCAGTAAATTATTTTCGCATTTTTTTGTCCGAAATTTGCTGGAACGACCGAAAGAAAAGCTGCGCCGACACACTCCCGGAATCGCACCGGAACCTACTTGAAGCCTCGTTGAACCTGGCCGCACCAAGCCGGAACCTTCTCCGGAACGCTGTTGAACCTGACCTGGCTCTGCACCAAGAGCTTGTCCGGAACCTTCTCCACAACCTTCTCCGGAACCTTCTCCACAACCTTCTCCGGAACCTTCTCCGGAACCTTCTCCGGAACCCTGTTGAACTTGACGTGACTCTGCACCAACGTCTCCCAGACCTTCTCCGGAACCTTCTCCGGAACCGTCTCCGCTCCGGAACCTTCTCTCCGAAACGCTGTTGAACTTGACCTGGCTGCACCAGACTCTCCCAGACTGTTGAACCTGACCTGGCTCTGCACCAAAGCCTCCCAGCCCTTCTCCGGAACCTTGTTGAACCTGACCCGGCGTCTGCACCAAAGCCTCCGGGAACTTTCTCCGGAACCTTCTCCGGAACCCCGTTGACTGACCCAGAGCCTGCACCAGTGCACACCGGAGCTATTCTGGGCTGAAGACCCCATTAGCTTATGCTATTGGGGAACAAACCAAAAAAAACAAACCCACGTTGGTTTTTTCTTTGGGGGGGCGATTGTTCTTTTGGGGTTGTTTTTTTTTGGGGGGTTGTTTGTTTTTTGCTTTTATTTTTTCATAATATTATATAATTGTTTTCCATTTTCCAGTGAATGAAGGTCTCCGACGTCATAAATGTATGGATGCATATTATTGCCGGTATCTTTTGATGAAATGCTATTGTGCTACGCATCCGTACTCAGAATCATGTATGCATGTACAATCATGCATACATGTATGCATACATTGGCATACATTGGCGTACATCGGCATACATTGGCACACGTAGATACATAGATAGACATTTGCATACGAACGTACAGACATACAATATAAAAATAAGTCCAAACATCCATACAGACAGGCATACATCCGTACACCCATCATACACACATAGAGACGTGCTGGCAGAAAGACACAGAGACATACAGACATACATGTCCCACAGTAATAGCAGAAAGCGCGCAGAAGCTGGTTTCACACATTTTGTTTCGTGGTTTCAAACCGTTTGAAGGCCGCATGTCATGCAAATTGACAAAATTGACGGCAAATTGACAGCAGATTTCGCTTTGGGATTTCTTCAATCCCTCATATAACTGGCCTTGCCGAGGCTGGAGCCTGTGAATTTCCATCCAGACTCCCCTGACTTGGCACCTCGGCAGGAAATTCCATATTGAATCAGCAAGGAGGGAACTCAGAAGTTACAAGACATGCTGTATTCAGAATAGTTTTGAAATGTTTTGAATCAATCAAGCGTTCGCCATTTATGGCCATCCGTCTTGTGAATCATCATCATTTGGTTTGTCCGAACTTAGTCAATTTGATCAATGGCAGTTCCGAAGTAGATGGCTTGCTATAAAGATCTTAAAGAGCGCTTTGGATGGGCATGTCAAGCTATCGTACGCATGTTGATTGTGATTTGTGGTTAGAAGATGTTAGAAGTAAAGCATATGCACAGTCCAGATACTCCAGGGCCCCTAGCAAATCCTAATTAAACAATACTACCTATCCAATTATATAAATACGCATCTGATCGAAGGAAGTTTAGAAGTGAAACTTCCGACAACATGGACAGGTGGAAAGCAGATGGGAAGAGTCAGGGAAGAGAAGAGAAGAGAAGAAGAGAGAAGATCAGAGAAGAGAAAGAGTCAGAGGAAAGAAGATGCAGGCGCGCGAAAAAGTAGAAAAGTCGCGAAACACTGTGCTTGTCCAATGATTTGTGGCTCCGGCAGGTCGAAAAGTAGGCTCGCTGAAGCGGCGGGTGCGGAGCCATCTGGCCAGATGAGAGATGAAAAGTTGCACGCCGTTGTGGCGCGAAGCACATGTCGAAGTCAAAACTGTAAAAAAACATGACGGTCTCAGGCCACTTTTGGAAGTTGAAGTTGAGATGTCGAAAAGCGCACGCGGCTGTAGCGCGAAGCACATTTCCAAGTTAACATGTATAAAACACACCAGGGCCGGAGCACTTTTGGAAGTTGAGATGTCGAACAAGTGTACGCCGTTGTGACGCGAAGCACATCTCCAAGCCAAAATGTACAAAACACACCAGGGTCGGAGCACTTTTGGAAGTTGAGATGTCGAAAAAGTGTACACCGTTGCGGCGCGAAGCACATTTTCAAGTCAACATGTACAAAATGCACCAGGTTCGGAGCACTTTTGGAAGTTGAAATGTCGAAAAAGGGCACGCCGTTGTGGCGCGAAGCACATTTGGAAGTTGAGATGTCGCTTCGTATGGCATGTGTAAGGGATTGTGCACCTTGTCAAAAGTTATTAAAAGGTGAGGGTTTTGTACCAGTTTCAGCTACTACAACCACCACTACACTACAACTACAACTACAACTACATTACGCTACACTAATTAATTACATTACACTAAATACGCTACACTCCCCTACATTACACTACACTAACCACAACTACAGCTACAGCTACAACTACAACCACAATACGCCACACTACACTAAACCACAACTACAACTACAATTACACCTACAACTACAACACATCAGACTACACTACACTACACTACACTACACTCAGTTACACTACGCTACACTACAGTACAACTACAACTACAACTACGCTACGCTACACTAATTACGTTACACTACATTAATCACACTGCACTACACTACAGTAACGCTACGCTACACTACACTACTCACTACACTACGCTACACTAACTACAACTACAATTGCAACTGCAACTACACTATACTACACTAATATTACATGACACTTCACTACACTCCACTACACTACACCACACTCAATTACACTACAACTACAATTACAACTGCAACTGCCACTGCAACTACACTAAATAACACTACATTACACTACACGACGCTACACTAATTACAAAACACTACACCACACTACACCACACCACACCACACTACACTACACTTTTTCTACACTACACTTTTCTACACTATACTACACTAACTACAACTACAGCTGCGACTACAACTACGCTACTTTACACTACACTAGACTACACTACCCTACATTACATTACACTACACTCTTTCACCACCGCATGCAACTGCAACTACTCTACACTAATTACACTACGCCACAACTACAACTCCACTACGCTACAACTACAACTACAGCTGCACTACACCACACTACATCCAGCAGTTGTGGGTGAGGTGACCGACGAGGTGACCACTGCAACCATTGTACCAATCCATAAAACAGAACTCCAACCACCTTTCAGTCCATCAGTGGGTTCGCTCTGCCATCCGTGATTTCACAGCAGCCAAGCTTTCCTATAGGTTTCCTATACTTCCGCCACCGCCTTGTGCGGTCATACTACCGTAGATGGACGAAATATTCAAACCCCTTCTATCCGGTACAACCCTCTCGCCCCCAAAGTTCAAAGTTAATGTAACCTGAAGTGCGTTAGCCCCAATGGACGAAAAAAATTAAACCCCTAACATCACTTTTGCTAACACGCGCGCTGAAACATTGAGATTTGGGGGTGCGGGGGTTCAACAAAGTGCGTGCTGCAGGGTTTGAATATTTTGTCCATCTACTGTAGTGGTATATCTAACGATCGCTGTTTGCATTTCAATACCAAGCTGATCCGAACTGTGCCCCCCCAGGCGCAACAGTGTTTGTCTGCCTCGTTGGACAATCTCCGACTCGTCCCAGCCCAGTGGATCTTCAAGGCACCGCCACGCAGTTCCACACAAACATTTCAATTAAAAAAAATGATGTCTCAACTGTCAGCCAAAGAAAAGCGCAGACAGGCACGCAAATACAAGGAAACAAAGTGCATAGGACACGGAAGCAAAGCTGAAACATATACAGAAAACAAGGGTTATTTCAAAGACACGTGGTCATCAGCTTATATCAACTTCAGGTAGTAAACGTGTAAGTACGAGCTGAGAAGGCACCAAAGTTTTTATGATATAGCATATATTTTGCGGAAAAAAGCTTAAGATCTAGTTGAAATGTACTCATTTTTTTCCGTGTTCTGCATTTTTTCAACACCTTGCATTCTGCCTTCAAGATTCCTGAGATCATTGTCAGAAGTTTCGGTTGAAACAAGCCTTGAAAACAGGATATGTCGCGAAATCGAGTACCCTGCGAAGAGATCACAAACTGCAGGGTTTGACGGGTTTGATTGCATTCAGTCGTGGACTGCGCCGCACCATTTGGAGCTCAGGGTAGCGGAAAGCTGGAAGACCACGTTCCAGCTTCACGACCAGACAAGGCACGGCCACATTTGTCCCATGCAGGGAATGGCCTCCCCAGTGTCCCCTCAATGTGAGATGATGTGACATGCTGTTTTTTTTCTGATGTTGCCGCAGTCCGGTCATGACGGGTCATGTCCATGCTTCGCAAAACTCATGCACTGCAAAAAGTTACTGTAGTTTAGTAAAAATCCTCCTCAGCCATTGGGCAAAAATCTTGGAAATATTTAATTTGTGGTGGTTTTTCTGATATACTTCTGTTTTATTTCAAAAAAGTGCCTGAAAAAAGATTTTAGAACATGACACATCTGATTTGGCAAATTTTGAATTTTGGAGAAAAATGTTATTTTTCCAGATTTTGGCTAGGAAAAGGAATGAAAATGAGGAAAAGTAGCAGTTTTTCAATTTTTTCCAGAAATCTGGGGAGGCAGCCCTGGCAGGCTCCAAACCCACCAAACAACAAGCAGGGATTCAGAATCCAGTCATATTTCAAGAAATTGGAAAAAATCAGACATATTTCAGAAATATTTCAGATCCAGAATCAAACCCCAATATTGGGGTGTCAGAAAAAAAACAGAAAATAATTCAGAAACTAAAAAGTTTTGGCTTCCTTCACTTTAGGCTGGTGGGATTTCACTACTGTAGTTCATCTTAATTCTGCATGGATGTTTGGTCCATACCGTCCTTTTCCTACTGATTGGTTGATTAGAGCTAACTTCCCTGGACAAATAGGAAAGCTACAGTTTGAATATTGGTATGGTATAGCGAACAGAGGACCTTCTATTTTCCCATGTTAGCTGGCCGTGTTTTGAATCAAGGTCGATGCCAATCTGGTTTAGATATCTTCATGCTCATTAAGAAAACATTTCTCAAAGAAGATTAAGATCAATCACAAGTCAAAGCCAGCCTCGGCAGTTGGGCCATGTTTAATGAAGCCAAGGTACAGAATCTGCATGAACCGACCATATTGTTACTATTTTTGTGCGCAAGCACGAGGTGAGTAGGACAGAACATGCCTTTGGCGTGGACAGAACATGGCAGATTGCAGCAAAAGCAAGATACCGCAAAGGAATTATTACATTTAAAAAAAAGTTGAAAGATCGATATTATGAAGAATAATGAAGATATACATATTATATAATCATAGCCTTTGTGCCAAGACAAAGGTCTGTCTAGATTTTTGACAAGTGACCTTCCGCACTTTCTCTCCCACCACAACATATGTGTGTGTATTATATCCTGCACGAAAGCTGCACCTATCCGTAGGCACTGCGTGGACAGTCCCTTTGACATGCCGTGTGCATGTGCAGATGTCACTGCCATTGGTGGGTCCCGCGCCGCAAGGCAACCCACCTGGTTTGGCCAGCACTGCTGCACCAAACCTGCTCACAGCTGCTGTTCATGTCTTCCCAACAGATATGACAGGTAGGTAACAGTTATGTACGTTCTCAGCGCTTCTTGGAGTGTGTCCGCCTTGCTGTTGATGCTGTGTCCGCTTTGTCGCTGCGTGTCTTCGGTTGTATCCCTGTTGGAGTCCAATCTTCCCTGCCTTGCCATTGGATGCGGTTCGCCTTGGTGTTTGTCTCCGTTCTTGCCTTCCCCTGCCTTCTTTCTTGTCTCCTCGTTGGTTTTTTTACTGTTTGTGTCTGCCTTCCACGTGCTCACCTAGGGATGCTGCATCCGCCTTCTCACAGGCTTGTTTTGGGGCGGGTCCCCTCTTGTCTCCCTCCCTCCCTCTCCCCTGTCCTCCGTGCGGCTTATCTCCGCTTGTCTCCTTTCTAGTCTTCCTTCTTCTTCTCTGAGAGGAGCCTTGCTTCACAGTTTTTATGGGATGTTTTTTTGGGTGATTTTTTGTGTGTCTTTTTCCAGCCTGGCTCTGTGGCTTCTGTGACTTTTGTGGGTGTGTGGCTTTTGTGGCTTTACCATGCTTTACCTAGCTATCCATTTATCTAATCTAACCAAATCTAATCTAACCTAATCTAATCTCTCTATCTAATCTATCGAATCTATCTCATCTATCTATCTATCTATCTATCTATCTATCTATCTATCGATCGAAACCATCTAATCCATCGAACCTGTCTAATCTATCGAATCCATCTAATCCATCGAACCTTTCTAATCTATCTAATCTATCTAATGTATCCAATCTATCTAATCTATCCAATCGAATCTAATCTTATCTAATATTATCTTATATTATATTATCTTATCTGTTTTCTCTGCTTATCTTATCTCTTCTTATCTTTTCTTATCTTACCTTTTCTTATCTTATCTTATCTGTCTATCTATCTATCTATCTATCTCTATATACACACCTTGTATGCCGACATGTACCTTCATCCAACCCTCAACAGACTTTAGATAGACCCTAAACCAACCCTAAATAACCCGATTAGCCTAAATAATTTTTAAAAAATCTAAACCAACCCAAAATAGATTTTAAACAAACCTTGAACCAACCCTACAGAAACCCTGAATAAACCCGACATAACCAACCCTAGATAAACCCCAAACCAACCCTAAACAAACCCTGAACCAACCCTAAAAAAACTTTAAACCAACTTTGAAAACCCTAAACCAACCCTAAATAAACCCTAAACCAACCCTAAATAACTCTGAATAAACCCTAAATTAACATTAAATTGATTTTAAATAAACCGTAAATAAACTTGAAATAAACTTTAAACTAACCCTAAATAAACACTAAACCAACCCTAAACCAACCCTAAATAAACCCTGAGCCAACGCTAAATAAACCAAAAACCACCCCTAAACCAAACCTAGATGACCCTAAACCAACCCTAAATAAATTTTAAATAAACCCTAAATAAACCTTAAACCAACCCTAAATAAACCGTAAGCAATCCCTAAATAATTCTGGACAAACCCTAAACCAACACTAAATAGACCTTAAATAAACCCTAAACCAACCCTAAATAAACCCGAGGCCAACCCTAAACCAATCCTAAATAACTTTAATTCAACCCTTAATAAACCCTAAACCAACCAACACTATGTTAGCATCCAATGCCACTATTTAGACCCAACACTGCTGTGCTTCAACCTGTATTCTACATGTTCACCAGGTGCATGTTATGCGTGGGAAATCGGTTGAAACCATGGAAAAATCAATTGAACCCATTGCAAACTCAATGAAAACTAGGGAAAAACAGATGAAAACTTTGGGTAAATCAATGAACACCATGGAAAAATCGATGAGCAGTGCAAATGGCAAATCTCCAATACTCAGCAAAGTACATGTTTTGCTCCAAAATGCCCCAGACGGAAAAGCAAAAAAAAAATATGCACCCGTTTTTGTGCCAATACCTGTTGGGGTGTGGTGGTATAATTTGGAATGCGTTGTGTGACAATTCTCTTTATGTTACCAGATTTAAGCTTGCACATTTGTGGAGTTTAACTTTAGCAGAAAAAGTTCGAGATTTCCCTACAGTTGCAACATCTTATCTTATAGTCACCACACGGTGTGATTACATATCTTGCAGGCAGTGCCAAAATCCGATATCGGAGCTTTGAGAAGCAAAGGATCCAAAGCATCCATGGAGAGTGGTCGCTCCTTGCTTGGCTTCATCAGAGGCACGCATTTCCCTAAATGCGCGTCTCATGGTGGAAACCCATGGAAACTGATAATGAATTCAAAGTGCGGAACATATTCGCTAGGCTTTTCTCAAATATGCTCTTAGGATTAATTCTGGCTTGATTTGAGGTACTAATAGCTGGGACGGCTGGGATATACAGCATTTGGGAAGTTTAGAGAAATAAGATGAAGCAAATGCTATTTGGGAGCACATCACCCTGCTGTTCGATGAATTATATATGTATATATAAGATAGTTGTATACAGTATAATGATATGCATATACTATGACATATATGTTGTGAATCCATTTCATTGCAGTCACCGCAGATCCGAAGTGCCTACATGTTCCCAGGGGAATTTGCAAGACCATTGACTTCTGAAAGCACAATAGGCTCAGGTGTGCCCTTAGGGAAGGAAGTGGGAGGGCTTACTGCATTGTGTTGTTGCCATATTCGTGAGCGTGGCTGCTCTTGAAACCTTGGGACCAGGGGTCCATACAACAGTGGCGCATTTGCTTCTCTGATTTTGGTCTCCTTTTGTGTCTTCCAAGGACGCCTGCCTTTGCAGAGCCAGCAGGCTCTATTATAGCTCCTAAGGATCCGGGGGGACAGAAAGCCTTGTCAAAGGCCAGTGATGGTCCTAATGAAAATGTGGCCTGACGGCATGCGGCAAGTGGACTGAATTGGTCATTCGCCTTATCCTGGGATGTTCGGGAGCAGCTTCCCAAAAGCTTCAACTCCAAAGTAGTGAGGTCACCAACAATGACAAAAAGTCCATCCAAAAGATCATAGAATTGCTTGGGGGACAATGGGGCCTAATTCCTTTGGAAAGGAAGTACGAAGCTGCAGAGCGTGCGTTGTTCCGATGCCAGCAGAAAGGTGACGAGACAAATGATTCCTACCTCGCCAGAGCAGATGTGCTGTGGCAGGAATTTATCAACAAAAGCATGACACTGGAGGACCTTCAAGCATACATCACACTGAGGGGTCCCAATCTTTCCGCAGATGACAAGAAGAGAGTGATCATAGACAGCGGGCCCAGTGTGGATGGAAAACTCGCCATGCCCAAGGTAACTGCCGCCGTGCGGATGTTGGGAGCAGGCTTTTTCTCCAGGAGGTTGTCGTTGGAAAGAGAACTCGCAAACTGAAAAAGTATGCTTCCACCATGATGGCAGAAGAGCATGATCAGGATGAATCACAGCATGTTTTTGGTACTGAAACTGCGGAAGAACTGAATGATGACGATGCCATACATGTTCTCTCCCAGGAAGGGGACGAAGATGCTGTTTTGATCACAGACTTCGAAGCCGCAGCGTCCGATGTGCTCCAATCAGACGAAGAACTCGCCGGTGCGTTCAACGCATATACAGAAGCGAGACGCCGCCTGAGTGAGAAGGTGAAATCCAGAAGGTTTTGGCCACCACAAAAGGGTAAGTTCAAAGGCTTCGGCAAGAGCATGAAGGGGAAGTTTCAGAAGGGACATCGGTCCAATCGCAAGTCGCTGCCGCTGCAACAGCGAGTCCTGACAACAGCATGCAGACTTTGTGGAAAAGTAGGTCACTGGAAGGCCAAGGGCCCGACTCGGAATGATCAACCGAGCAGTGCCAGACCTCAAGCACAAGCCTCATTCGTCCATGCAGATGCCAGCCAGATCGAGTGGATTGCCCATGGAATTCCTGAATCTACCTGCCTTTGAAGGGCCAATAGACGACCCTGCACATGTCACCAGCTTGTGTTTTGCATGTCAATGTGATTTTCCCAGACATAACGACCCCAAAGATAAACTTAGGCAGACTGGAACAACCAGCATGAGAACTTGTCACGCCTTGCCAATCCCAGGACTGATGAGCCAACCGAAGATGCCAAGTCCAGATGGCGTCATGGCCTTTCCAGAGCTCAAGCGTCCAAGTTCTCTCAAGCTGCGTCAACCACGAAATAGGAGCAGCCTGTAATTTTTTGCCACATACAGTTGCATGGGGATAGTTGGTCTGGGAGCCACCAAAACAGTAATAGGCAGTAACGGTATTGCCATCACTTTTCGTTTTTGAAATCAGGGGACCTTGCAAAGTGAACATGCACTGGCAGCCATAGTGCCCGGATCTTTGTCGAACACCCTTTTGCAAGCACTGGGAGCAGTCATTGACACGCAACAGCAAGCCATCCATGCAACCAAGGTTTCCAGAAAGTCCCCAATCAAGGTGATCGAGAGGGGTTTGTTCATCCTAGATTCGAATGATCTGGTGGACACAACCGTATCCTTGCAGGCTGCCGAGACACATCGCATGTCCGACGAGCTAAAAGAAACTGAGCCGGGAAGCACTCAACCAAGGAAACATGTCATGATCCAAAGCCAATCCAACATGAACACCAACCTGACTCACATGCCCTTAACAACCATGAACATGCCCAAGACCATGATCATGTTTACAATCAAGATCGAGAGGGTGTTTTCGAACAGTTCGTGAGCAGTCCAGCGCAAAGCTCAGACCTCATACGTCCGGTAGATCCCAGGTGCTCAAATCGCGCACGGTTTGCCAAAAGCTTCCAGGTCCCACCGAAAGGCCGCCATGCCCTCTTTGACCCAGAGGTTGAAGCAGCTGCAGATTTGCCAATCCACGAAGGAAAGCCATCTCTAGGTGGAACGTGCAGAACTCACGGGGCTCCCATAATTACCGTGAATACTGGACCGAAGATGAAAGTCATGCAGCCCAAAGATGATCAAGCCCAAGCCCAAGGCAGCACCTCACCCCTCCATGCCACAGGGAGCTGAGGAGATCCCGCTTAGGGAAGACGATCAGGAGGACATCTTCTGCCAGCAGAAATGGAAATGCCGTCTCAGCCCACCGAGATCATGGTTGATCAGTTCAACCACCTGGAGAACCGTGCGCTTCACATGGAGGACACTCTGGGCCGGATCTTGAACCATCTGGAGAGCTCGAATCGAGCCAGCTCCCAGTAGATCTATGTCCAAGCTGGGATTTCCCTTGCACGCAGGAGACATAGATGATGTGCCTGATCAAAATGTTTGGAGGCACCAAAACCCAACATAGAGAGAAAGACCTTCCAAAGATTGGCTCACCAAAATCACCAAGAAATGCAGCAGGTTGGCGACCACAATTTTCCACCGTCTCAACTATAACGTATCGATGTGTTGGTTTGTGGACCTCAGAGCCAGCTCGCTCACCAATGCACGCAACAGGGCCATGCGCTTCGGAATGGCTGAGGGAGATCTCCAAACCAGCGAGGCTCGCCAGTGTCTCTTCCAGGTGATTCAGAAACATCGACTTCGACAGCCCCAAATGTGGTCCTTGGAGTGGATGATTTAACCCAAGCGGGAGTAGTCCATAGAAGCATGAAAAAACCTCCAACAAGAAAGATTACGCCACCTTGATCAAGTAGCCTTGGGGACAATCTTGATGAGACACCAACGTGTAGCAGGGTTACACTTTCACAGGGAGCAGCCACAAGGATCTCATATGTTCCGATTGCCATATCTCCAGGAGGTTCGACAGAACCTGCTTGCGGCAGAGGTAGATTTGTGTATCGCTGGCGATTTGCGAGATCCGGAAATTGGCGTGAGAAAACCACTTACCGTCATGACATCACCCATCAACTTATACCACGACCTTCATGGTCAGAAATCTATGGGTCAACATCAACAGTCACGATCAAGGAAGAATCATTACTTGAACCATGTTTTCACAAAACTATCCACAGAAGTTTGCTCGTCGGGTTGCCAAAGTTTTGCGTAAGTTCCAGGTTCCACGGAAGAAACCCTACAGGTATGATGCCGAAAATTCTTTTGGACATGGACTCTTGCCAGTGAAACCTCAGCCCTTGAGCGACCGCCCAAACGCCAACAGCTTGGAAACCGGACAGGACTGAAAGCATGTCATGCCAGAGATGTTGCAAAACTAACACGCAGAGGTCAGCGACCAAATGTGCTCACAATATGCGTGTATATATATATATATATATGTGTGTGTATTATATATATATACTTATTTGTTTGTTTATTTATTTATTTTTTTATTTGCACATGTAATATGTACACACACACATGTGGATATTTTGAGGATAATTTTTGCCACTTCAATGGATGCTGGCGTAAGCTATGCCAAATGCACAACCATGCAGGCGGAGCTCTTCCTCAGAAGCCCTTGGCCGAAAATCCGAGCGCCCTGACTGGATCTAAGATTTGGAAACTTGCAGATGCACATGCGCACTCGAGCAGGGGCATCGTTCTGTGCATGTGCAATCCGCACGACTGCAACAGAAATGTATAGTCTGGTGTAGAAAAGGGTCGAAACAAATCATACGCGCTGTTCACTTTGGATTTGCTTCAAGCTCTGGTCCGTTGACCCCATTTGACCCCCACTCAGTGGGCAGCTGCAACCTTTGCTATTTCCACCCCAGAGAATAGCATATAAGAGCCAAGAAGCAAGAACGTTAGTCTGACTTCCAAGTGCCTGACCGTTGACTTGATTCATAGTCAGGAGTATTGCTCGCATTGAATTCGCCAGCCTATCAAAAGAAAGCGGTGCCCCAAGGTTCCAACGTCTCAGAACTTCCGAAAGAGAAACTCCAGGAGGAAGCAATCTTGGATGGCCAGGCATTGGATAGTGCTCAACCGCAATTACTGGTAGGACTAGTTGGCAAAGGGCAAGTAGGCTATCGCACTAGCACATTGTTATGTGGTGGTTGTTGGTCGTGATGAAGTTTAGACGGTGAAAGTGCAGCTGCAGACGCCATCCTAGAGGAGCCACAGATGGAGCTCCAAAGTCTCCAAAGCAAAGGAGAACCTACTGTGGAACCTGCAGGCCTCGTCCATTCGAATCCGAGTTGTTTCAGAAACATCGCATTCAACGCTTTTGACGCCCTTGATGCCTCTTGGAATTTGGGCCGCTCTGCCGGAATTTGTCCTGGTAGATTCTCTCTTATGAATGCCACGCCGGTTGCTCAGGCGAGACTTCAACAGCAGAAGGGGGAATTCAGGGCAAGGACCTCTTGAGTGGCTGCCTTGGTTCATGTTTGGTTTACCTATATATATGTCTATATTATATTGTACCAGTAGTACTGCACAAGGCGGTGGCGGAAATTTCAAAGATAGGAAACTATAGGAGGGGTGAGTTGTTACGATGCACGGGTGGCATAGCGAATCCATTGATGGACCGCAAGCCGGTTGTGATCTTTGGAGTGGTTGCAGTGGTCACCTCACCCAAAACTGATGTAGTGTGGTGTAGCGAAGCGCAATGTAATTGCAGTTGCAGTTGTAGTGGTAGCTGTAGTTGTAGCGCAGTTGAAGTGTAGTTGTAGTTGTAGCTGTGGTTGAAGTGTAGTTGAAGTGCAGTGTAGTTGAAGTTGTAGTTGTAGTTGTGGCGTAGTTGAAGTGTAGTTGAAGTTGTAGTTGTAGTTGAAGTGTGGTAGTTGAAGTGTAGTTGAAGCGCAGTTGAAGTTGTAGTTGTAGTGTAGTTGTAGTTGTAGTGGCAGTTCTAGTGTCGTGTAGTGTAATTAGTTTCACGTAGTGTTGTGCAATGTAGTGCAGTTGTCGTTGTAGCTTTAGCTTTAGTCACTGTAGTCTAGTGCAGCGTAGTGTAATGTAATTAGTGTAGTGTAGTGTAATGTAGCGTAGTGTAGTGTAATTAGTGTGCTGTAGCTTAGTATATTATATTTGGTTTGGTATTTGTAGTTGTAGTGGTAGTGTAGCGTTGTCATAGTTGTAGTTGCAGCTGTAGCTGTCTATCTATCTATCTATCTAACTATCTATCGATCTAACTATCTGTCTATCTGTCTATCTATCTGTC